GCCGCTGCACCCTCCCTCCTCCCCAGAGCCCAAGGGCGTGGCTCCCGGGGCCAACCCGAGGAGGCGCCGCGCCTCCTCCCAGCGCTGGGACTTGAGCGTTTGGGGAGGTGCAGGAGGGGATCTCTTGTCTCCCCTGGGTTTCAGAGGGACCCGCTTCTCAGGTTCCAGTGCGTTAGAAAGTCGGGGCAATTCTACCAGTTGGCCTGAAGCCCTCCCCTTAGGACCCTGGGCAGCAGCAATAGCGGGTCCTGGGGGCTGGGTTCTGGGTGGTGACCCGCAGCTTCGTCTCTGTCCCCTCTGCTCTCCAGGCTAGAGGAGGAAACTCGAAAGCGGGAGGATGCGGAACACAACCTCGTGCTCTTCCGCAAGGTGAGTCCTGGCCCCACGTGAAGTACTGCTTCCCACCTCCGCCCTGGTGTGCGTCGGTGGGCGCATCCCGAGGCAGAGAAGGAGGGCCCAGCCCGGCCTCCTAACTGCCCTTCCCGCTCTTGAACCCCGCTTCCACCCTACAAAGGATGTGGATGATGCCACCCTGTCCCGACTGGAACTGGAGCGCAAGATTGAGTCCCTGATGGATGAGATTGAGTTTCTCAAGAAGCTGCATGAGGAGGTGAGTGGACTTGGGTATCAGGAGAGGCCTGGAAGGCTGGGGAATGACCTCGCATGCGGAGACCGCTGGAGACTGGTGGATGGAGAGGCAGAATCGGCCCAGGATGTGAAAGCTTGGCAGGTTGGACCGCGCCTCTGGGATGGGCCCTACAGGTGGTTTAATTCCCACCCCTGCGCCACCTGTTGGCAGACAGCGGAGCTGCACTCCGGACGTCCGGGCCGGCTGAGCGCCGACGTGGGCGCGGGTCGCGTAGCGCTGAGTGCGTTGGACGCCCTGGTGCCCCTTGTTATCCACGCAAGCGTTTCTTCGCCTTTCTTTTTCTTTTTTACATTTTTTTATTCGCCTTCTGCACGGCCGCGTGGGTTTTGCGCCGTCTGCCCCGCGGTGGGCTCATCTTTTGCCTGCCCTGGCTGGCAGGAGCTTCGTGACCTGCAGGTGAGCGTGGAGAGTCAGCAGGTGCAGCATGTGGAGGTCGAGTCGACCGTGAAGCCGGAGCTAACGGCGGCGCTGAGGGACATCCGCGCTCAGTACGAGAGCATCGCGGCGAAGAACCTGCAGGAGGCCGAGGAGTGGTACAAGTCCAAGGTGCGCCGCCCGAGGGGGCGCCCGAGACAGGGCCCGGGAGGGCGGGCACCGGGCCTCGGGGAGTCCAGTCCAGCTCGCTGCATCCCGAGTGATCCCGCAGTACGCGGACCTCTCTGATGCCGCCAACCGGAACCACGAGGCGCTGCGCCAGGCCAAGCAGGAGATGAACGAGTCCCGACGGCAGATCCAGAGTCTGACGTGCGAGGTGGATGGGCTGCGCGGCACGGTGAGCACCTAGCAGCACCCCGGGGCGGCGGCATGGACAGGCCGGCTTCCCCGCCTGACCCCGTCGCGCCCCCCAGAACGAGGCATTGCTCCGGCAGCTGAGGGAGCTGGAGGAACAGTTCGCCCTGGAGGCGGGCGGGTACCAGGCCGGCGCCGCACGGCTGGAGGAGGAGCTGCGGCAGCTCAAGGAGGAGATGGCTCGGCACCTGCGCGAGTATCAGGAGCTCCTCAACGTCAAGATGGCCCTGGACATCGAGATCGCCACCTACCGGAAGCTGCTAGAGGGCGAGGAGAGTCGGTGGGGAGCGGGGCTGCTGGGGCGAGGAATGGGGGTCCGCATGGGGTGGGGGTTACCTCGGCAGGGAGGCTGACGGCTGTGCTTTGCCTTTAGGATCTCTGTGCCCGTCCATTCCTTTGCCTCCTTAAGTATAAAGACGACTGGTGAGTTCTCCACGTCTGGCTTCTGGCCTGTGCTCCCCATGTCCTTTCTGCCCTGGTTGGACTCTTCTCCGACTCTGTTCAGCCATAAGTTCTCTCAGGGGACTACTGAGTCCTGGCCTATATCCGCCCCCACTCCTTGCCCTGCGCCCATCCTCTGCCCTCGGGGAGTAGGTACCTGAAAGAAGAGAAAACCCAAGTCTTTTCCCTCCCACCCCTCGTGCTGCTTTCTCCAGTGCCTGAGGTGGAGCCAGCCCAGGACAGCCACAGCCGGAAGATGGTTCTGATCAGGACCATCGAGACCCGGGATGGAGAGGTGAGGCTCCTGTCCCTGGGCTCCACCTTTCGCCATGTTGTTCCCCAGGCCCAGCTTGGCTGCAGATCTTCGTGTGCTGTGGGTGGGTGGACAAATCAGAGCCTCAGCTGGTTATGCCAGGCAGGGGTAGTGGAGGGCAGTGCTGAAACATCAGCCTCTCACATTCCTTGCCCCCAGCAGGTGGTGACGACGGAATCTCAAAAGGAGCAGCATAGTGAGCTGAACAAGTCTTCCACTCACAGCTACTGAACCCCTCCTTGCCCTAGGCCTACTGTAAACCCAAAGCCTCATACCTATCCTGAATTGGCCTCCCTTCCCTCCCATTGCATGTGCCTAGGGGATGGCACCAGGCCCCCCTCCCTGGCCCATGGCTAAGTAGCCAGGCCCCTCTCTACTCTAAAATAGATGTGACCTAAATGCTTTCCCAGGACAAGTCTGCTGTGGCCATGATCCCTTGATCAGTGGGATGGTCCAGGATCTGAGTTTTGCTTTGAAGTCAAATAAAACTGCTATGGAGAGAAACCTGTCTGGTGGGTTTGTGTCTGGGCTGGGGCTGGGGCTGGGGGCACATTAGCCCCAGCAGTGCTTTCCCCTTGTCTCTTATCACTTTAGACTCTTGCAGGCATCTGTGACTTCTGTGTTCCCTGCTGGGTTTTCTCATACTCCTGTCTCTTCCTTCTGCCTTCTGTTCCTTCTGCAGCCATGACTGAATGTCCAGCTGTCTGCTAGGTGTCCCTCCAACTCAACATGCCCAGACTGAGCTCCTCACCCTCTCTCCGTCTGCAATCATGATCTTCCTTCCAGATTCCCACTCCGGAGGAAGGTGACAGAGGGACCCCTCTGGTCCAATTAGAGTCCACCCATCTTACACGCTTACGTATTTCTTTTCTCTACGTGCCCCCAATTCTCTCTTCTTCCTGTTTCTTCTGTCCTAGGGATCAACCCAGGGCCACATGCAGCTAGGCAAGGGCTTTACCCCTGAGCTATATCCCAGCCTCTCAGCACCCTCTGCTTCTTAATTCTCTTTCAAGACTGTGGTTTGGGCCAAGGATGTAGCTCAGTGGTGCTGCACTTGCCTGGCAAGTGCAAGGTCCTGAGTTCAGCCCCCAGTTACCCCCCAAAAGACTGTGTGGATCTCAGCCAGGTGTGGTGGTACACGCCTATGATCTCAGCACTTGGGAGGCTGAGGCGAGAGGATTGATTGCTGTAAGTTCATGGCCAGTTTAGACTACAGAAAAAGGCCTTGTCTCAAAGATTGTGTGGTTCTCCCCCTCCTTACCACTACCACCCTGGTCCAGCCCACCATTATCTCTTGCCTGGGTCACATAGAACTAACATCGAAGGTTTCCATCTCTGGCCTTGTCCTGCCATCTGCCCAAATCTATTCAATACCCATAGATTGCAAATCTGATTGCTATCATCACCAGTCCCATACTGCTCAAAATGCCCCTTTCCATGCTGTCCTCAACTCCATTCCATCTGACCTTTATCCTCAGGACCAAATCCGCTTTTGGATTTAATGCTTCCTTCCCCATTCAGTGATGATACTAGGTTCAAGAAATAAGACCACATCTCTGCTCTCAGGAGCTCCCGGGTGGGGTGGGAAAGTAGATAAAATACCCGCCTGTGGTGGGCACCATGTCTGGGGGAAGCAGAGAGCGGTGTGGTGACAGGAGATGCCGCTAACCCATCTTGGAGGGGATCAGGCTTTGCTCTGGAGATGACATTGCATCGAGCCCTGGAGAAGTAGCAGCACCTGGGAGAATCCAGGAGAGAAGGCAGCTCTCTAGGTAGTAAATTGTCAGACTGGGAGAGAGCAAGTGGGGACTGAAGGTAATCTAGAAAGTTGGAGGAAAGTATAGGGAGGGACAGTGTTGAGGCTGGAAAGAAAAAACAGGCCTGCTGAGGAGGGCTTGATAGGCTTATTACAACATCCAAAATTTGTCATAGGGAAAAGAGAAAGAAACGTAAAGGTTTCCATCAGGAGGGTGCTCTCAGGTGTCACACAGGAGACATATAGAAGTGCAGACAATGAGAAACACAAGAGCCACAGGAGGAGAGTCAGGAAATTGCACTCTGAGAAGGCAGATGAGAAACATCCTGGAGGGAGCGGGCCAGCGAGAGGAGGCTGGGAGTGTGGTTGAGTAATAATAGGAAAACCAGGGATTTATCAGCAAGGAAGATGCTGGAGGCCTACAAGTAAAGTGGTCAGTTGAGGAACAAATGAAATGAGGAAGTAAAGACAGCCTACTCTCTTTAAAAAATATATAAAAGGGCCAGTGATTTAGCTCAGTGGTTCCACTGCCTGCCTGGCAAGTGCAAGAACCCAAGTTCAATCCCTGGTACCAAAAAGTAATAATAATAATAAAATTTAAAAAATATAAAAATGAAATAGAAAATAGTGCTGGGATATAATCTCAGCACTCTGGGAGGTGCAGGAGAATCGCAAGTTTGAACCCAATGTAGGCAAATTCGCAGCCTAGTGAGATTCTGTCTCAAAAAATAGGTTAAAAGGGCTAGAATATAGCTCAGTACAAAGGCTCTGGGTGGGGAGAAAGAGAGAGAGAGAGAGAGAAAAAAAACACTTGCCTAGCACATGCAAGGCCCTGGGTTCCAGCCCCAGTACTGAAAAAAATAAAAGTCACCTCTGATGTAAGGACTTGGCCACCTTCATTTAGTGGGATGCCTGAAGAGAACCTGCTGTGTGGGGTATATGTCCCGGGTCCCAGAAGCCCCTGCTGTGGACGGCAGCATCTCCCTTTAGGGCTCTGGCCAATCATCTAGGTGGGATCTCAGGCTGGGTGGGGACATGGGAATGGGGCAATGAGACTGGATGAAGGGAGGAGGAGGAGAAGGAGGAGAGGAGGAGGAGGAGGAGGAAGAGGA